AAATAAAGGTAACGCAACTAGTCTACCTCTGTCAGTGTTTACAAGTTTTCATACATCTGACAAGAATAAGGAAATAAAACACTTGGTAGGGACTGAAGAAACCAACTATCTGATTTTTTGAATTGTGACAGTAAAGCAATTACTAAAACTTGAAAAAATTAAACAAACATATTGGTAATTAAGAAGTCCTGTTTTAAAGCGACACAATTCTAGATTTTAAGGAAGAACCACTTAAAAGAACGTATGAAACCAGAAGACTCTTTGTGACTGATGCTGCCTAATGAGCAAGCATCATGAGTGAACAATAAAAGTTTAAACTGAATACAAACTATTTGTTCATATGTTTAATTCTATTGAAGTGTCTGATAATGGGATGGAGATAAGTGTGAAACCATTGTTCAAGAAAATAATTTGTCCAAAAAACCTTAAATCATGAGGCGTTTGTGATGGTTAGAGCGTTCGTATGTCTGAAAAGAGATGGGCTTCCATGGCAGCTTGCAACTGTATCTAGTGTTAAGAGCAATCAATACAGTAGATAATTTAAAATTTTACACAGCAATAAATTGAGGCTACACCATACATTCAAAAAATGTTATAAATGATACTGACTACTAAAAATTAACAAGTAGTATAGAGCAACGCACGAAAATGGTTCCACTGTGCTTTTGGGTCCGGTGTCTGTCATTATCGAGCCCCCTGCTCATACAAGACGGGAAATTCCAATGCAGGCGAGTAAATGGGGCGTACTTGCCGTGCCCTCACCTCATGTTGAGTGTTTATTTCACGTGCAAGACTATCGCACAAACGCTAGATACCTAGTAGATACAGGTGCCAAAGTCCCCGTCGCACCGATTGGTAACAGGAAGTCTCAGGCTATCATGCCTCGACTACGCACTAAGAAATGCGCAATCATTTTTAAGATCGACCTGGTGCGAGCATATCATCAGATTCCAGTCGTTCCTGAAGATATCGAGAAAACTGCTATCACGACTCCTTTTAGTCTGTTTGAGTTCCTACGAATGTCATTTGGATTAGAGAATGCTGTTCAAACTTTTCAAAGGTTTATCGTTAGCACAGCATGAGACTTGTATTTTGTTCACGTCTATATTGATGACCTAATAATCGCATCATCGAACATTATCAGCACCTAACACTGCTATTCCAGCGCCTTTCAGATAATGGAATAATAGTCAATCCGGACAAGTGTGAGCTTGGCAAAGCGGAAATAAAACTCTTAGTCCACCACATTAAGCAAGAGAGTATTTTACCTTGCGAAGACAAAGTACGTGAAATCATGGAGTACAATGTACCTTCCATACACAAGGAACTGAAGGCGTTCCTCGGTTTGGTTAAATTCTACCGACGTGTCCTCCCAAAGGCGGCACGACGGTTACGACCATTAACCGACTTACTTCGCGGCAAGATATTCGTAGGTAGCTGGTTTATGTGTCCTCGAAACATGGCTCGTGTATCCTGGGACTATCGAGTAAGTAATGCTGTCGTTAGGAAACGGGTACTAGGCAGAGACGGCAAACTAATAGATGATGTACTAAAACTGCATCAGTTGGATGGTTAGGACGTGTGTTACGAATGACTAGTCACCGACTGCTTCGACGAGCTATGTTTTGTGGTGTAGGAGTAGGTTGAAAGAAAGCTAGGGGCGGCGAAACTAAAACATGGCACAAATGCATGAAGTCACTGACAACTGGACTGAGCCATGTTGGGGTCGGCTGGACGATAATAACTGATGGTTAGCGACTTTGAAAGACAGGGCTAAAAACTGTTTGTAATAGGGCAGGTGCATCCACTCGTTGTGTTCTATGAAATTCTAATCTTTAGATTTCCTCATCGACTCTACCTTTCTGTTTCTAAACTTATCTCACTGAATTATATTTCTCAAATAATAATTGGGAACCCTAATCTTCTCCATTGCCAGTAATACTTCTACTATCTCTGCCACTAAGGGACTTGAATTGAGAATTAAGTTTCTGTGCTAATGTGGTATGGCAACCTGAACTGATGTACTTAAGTACGAAGTTCTACGTTGTAACTGTCTGTCTGTCAAATTTTAAAGAGAAAATGTATTAGGATGCATACTTTTTTAAAAATGGAACAAGTGTTATATTCTCTAAAGAAACAAATTACCAATTTAGAAAAACTCTATAACTAATCGTATTGAGATAAAGAACTAATCTCAGTCACCAACATACTTACGTCGGTCACTTCTGATATAGTAAATGTCGCCAAACAAGTATCTCTCACTAACTCTGTCCCGCACTCTACATTCCAGGTTTTCTCAATTGTTCTTCATCCTTTTATGGTTACTGCCGATTCTAGGCACAATGTGCAGTTTTGTCAGCGTTTGTTCCTTTCTCATGGAGGATTCCAAATTAGGGCTTGTTTTGTGATGCAGTTGGATGATGCTCGCAACGTGTGACCTATCCTCGTGGGGTGTAGCTTTTCATGGCTTCCCCTTCACCCGAGGGCTGATTTTTTCTCTGACACAGGAGGTTGTTACTGATGGTGTCTGGTCAACTGATCTTCAGTATCCTGTGTAGACAACTGTTAATCAACACTAGTATCTTATGTATTCAACTTGAGCCTTGGTTTTCTCTGCTCTTGTTCGGCTATTATTGATTGCTCTCTTTTTCCATTCTTGAATCACTCCAATTTTAGTATGAAGGATCGTCGTTTCTTAATACCATCGATGACTCTGAATGTTTAGTATGATTTTTTCCGTTGCCATTGTTTGGTCTTGAAAAGGCGATCAATTCGGAAAGACTGATGTGGATATTCATGCAGAGTAAGAATCAAACACAATTTGAGATACAAATTTAAACTATCTAGGTTGTATTTCAAAATTTGACTTGAGTAACTGTAGAGAGCCTGCTCTAGATAGGGACGTTTACTGAATTTGTTGCTGTTTTTGGATAAATACGTTTGGTTTCCGTGCAATTTCGTTTTGCTGCTAATTAAATGCGTTATAGTTAGACTAGTCGCAGTCATCTAAGGGTGCTAAACGTTGTTGTCCACACCAAAAGCTGTAAGTACCAACTTGACAAGTATCAATACAGATTCGCCCTTTATCATGATGCTTCTTGCGACCCAGCACCTCATGCCATGTTGAAGCTGTTGTTCCTTTGACCCCTTTCTATTTCTGCCCCATGATGATTTCCTCTTCGTTGAGTAGATCTTGAAAGGCCTGGAATTTATTTCTGATAGCTATCTCGACGTCGCCGGATTTGTCAGTATCCCGAAGAAAAACAGAATTGAACTTTGTGATGCTGTTCGCCCAATAGTCCAGTGCTTCTTTAGTTTCAGATTCATCTTGACCACTATCAAATGATGATCTGAAGCTATGTCAGCTCCTCTGTTTGTTCTTCCGACCTCCATGGACCTTATGAACTTTTTATTGATGCATATGTGACCGACTGGTTAAGTGTAGTGTGCCTCCGATAAATATCTTGTTGAAGGTACATAGATCTCATCGTTTCGGTTCCTTTCTCCTAGTCCATGTCGCCACATTATGTCTTCATATCCAGTGTTGTCCATTCCACCCTTAGAGTTTAGGTCTCCTAAAATAATAGTCAAATCCCTTCTTAGGCATCTAACGACGATTGACTGCAGCCTCTCACAGATTTGATCTCTGTCGTCCTCACTGTTACCGTTGGCAGGTGCAAAGTAATGAATTATATTCATTGTAATCCCCTCTTTCTTTGTTTTGAAGGATTCTTTGATGATCCTGGTGTATGAGATTCTCATCGTCTAAGTGCTAATCTCTCCTAAAGTTGATCATGTTTATCGAGCTTGAGTCCAACAAATCTCCCTTATTCCAAGCACCATCAGGTTGTATCTTTTCATTTCCGCAGCCACTTGTATGGTTCTTTCGTTTTTGTTTCTTATTAGTTGACAGACTGAATCAATTTTGATATGCCTATTGATTGGTACGTTACTGTAGTAAAATAATCTCAAAATTCCTTCGTGTTTCTTTTGCTCAATATTCCGACATTTTTTCAGTCGAAATCGCGTCCATGAGTGTCAACATGAATTTACATAAGAGGTTATGTTGTGTTGATCAATTGCTAGCTGATGTTGATGCAGACGAAAAACGCAACGGGTACCGCCTCTGTCTTATGTAATGCTTCGGACAGTAGTTGCAAATAATTGTGTAATGTTTGGTCTGTCTACATTCGTCACTGCAACCCTTAAGCTGTATAACATTGTTGTACACATAAGGGGATTTTAAATTACGAATAGCCAAGGCTATCGTATGAATAAATCTCATCGACTTATTTTAAACTGATTAGATACTGTTAGCATTATATTTTAATCTTAGATGGATGAAAGTAATCGATAAGAAGACGTGAACTTTAGTTTTGTGATTAGTTATGATTCAAACAGTTAAATGAATCTGCAATTATTAGATGACCAATTTAGTGTAAATATTAATTTTGTATCAGAGGTTAGTTACGATCGCACGCACGGTTTACTGACAAGCGTCCTACTTTCATGAAACCAACTACCTTGATGAGCGATTTTGTCTGGTTAAGGAGAAGAAAGTCAAACGCGGTTAAACCAAGACATCGGCACCAGTCTATGAAGACATTAACAATTAGACTAAACCATGTTAATAAGCGTAGACTATATGCTTGAAATCTGCGTGACGATCTTAATTGATGTTGGGGACTCTGGACAACATAGCCCAAAAACGTTTCTAATGGCATAGATGTAGTCGTTTTAGTCTTTTTCTGGCTTATATTTTCTTGAATCTTATCTGTGATCTCTAATCTTTTCCATGCTACAACTTCTACATCTGTGGGACTTGCCCTAAGAATTTCATCTTTTTGTGTTATGACAACTTGAATTGATGTACGTGCGTTCCAAGTGTTGACTGACTGGTCAACAAACTCTAGCCGAGTGTGTTTAACTATCCTCAATCATCATAAAAATGAATGAAAAATAAAAGAACAAACAAACGATTTTGTGCTGACTTTTTTTTTCGAAATATCGAACAAACTTTACAAAGTAGTAGACATATTCGATAGGATCTAAGGAATTACTATAGAAAAGAGGAAAAAATGAAATACAGAAAGGAAGTATAAATAAAAGAGAATAATTTGAATAGAGAGATAGAGAAGGAGACACAGAGAGAGAGAGCACCTATCTATTCACTGGATTTGAATAAGTGTGCTAGATGGAATGTTTGTAATAAATGTATAAATGTTTATCGTAAATATTACAACGAATGATGCAAGAGGAAAACGATGCAAAAAAAAGTAGAAGGGGGATGAAGGCGGCGGCGGCAGCGGCGAGGGGGGGTGAGACGATAGAAAACAAAAACACAGCATCACTCAGTAGTAACACAAATCATCATCATATGAGAAACAAAAGGAAACAAAAAGTGTGCACAAAGGTAATAATCGTTATACGTTATTTCTAATTAAAGAAAACTGATGATGATAAACGGGTAAGTTGTCGATGGACTGATTCGAAGTAGTAATTGTGATGTGTATTCCATTGGTCGTTTGTTATTCCAAATGCATATAATCTCGTTGTTGTTGCATGCTTATTTGGTCTTTTTATCACAAACCATTGGATGACTGTTCTCACCATCATCAACATCATCAGTATCATCAGTATCAACATGGCCATGTTCGTTTACTTCAACATTATGTACACACATATCAATGGGATTATGGGTATTGTAACCAGTATCCACAATATCACCAGAACTTATCGCACTAATCGGATTGTCACTGATATTACTAGCACCACTATAAGTAGTAGTAGTAGTAATGCGATTATTTCTAATATTATTATTCCTATGTCCAATATGATTTTTGGAAGACGATTGTTTAAAACATTTAGTAGATTTGATACAAGTTGTGGAAGACAATGATGATGAAGCACAATTTGTACTGGCCGACTGAAATAGAAAAAAAAACAATAAGACATTTTTTTTAACACGATAAAATATAACAACAACTATGTGATGGATGTGGTGTAAACTGGATTGAAGTTATACTAAAACATTTTTTTTTTAATATTCCCAAGCTGTGTTACATAAATGGTCTGTTTTTTTCCTTGGATGACTGTTAAAGTTAACTGACAGATATTAAACTTCTTTCTGTTATAATTTAAGAAAGATCAATGGAATTTGACAGCATCTGCCGATTTGTTGGCTGTTTGAAAAATGCTAGCCGAACAAGTTCAGAGAACAAATAAAGAACGACAATAATGTTTCAACACTGATCATTTTGACCAGTTTGGTTGGTAAGTAATGACAACAAAAAAGAGATGAGAACGACAGAGGTAAGTAGATAACCCGAGACAAATACTCAGACATGAAGTAAATAGGTAATAAAATTGTCAGTTGTAAACAGGACTATTTTGAAGAAGAAAAAAGGAGAGACAGTGATCATCCACTCTGACTGTAGAACATTGGACAGATGAATAGAAAACGTCAGAGAATATTTTCACTACTCTTCAGAGAATCCTGACAGGTCAAACCCGATGATTTTTAACTACGGAGACCTAGTTTCATGAACTAAGTTGACTAAGATACTAGACAGAGTTTGGAAGCTAAAACTAATCCTAACTTACTGATCTTGGTCACTGATGATCCACAGTTTATGAGAAAGGACTGAAAATCTCTTTCTGCAGCCATAAATGAATCAATTTGATCCGACATAGTTTCTATAATGCTAACTTCTATAATCACTCAATGTGTAACTGTGGCTCGTGGAAGTTTCAAACCTGGTTTTGGAGGTATGAACTCATCGACAGGTTTTAGAACATCGGGATGGCGGCTATCAACGTCCAACTAGTTGAACTACTTAACCTAGAAGCAACATTCGACTTTGTTGGCTGAGTAGTTTTACGAAATCAACCATCCAAAAACATTATTGGCCATTAAATCCAATAGATTTAAATAACAATTTAAAAAAATACTACGAATCATGAAAAATGCAAGTAATACAACATACCATATAGATCAGACGAATTTGTTCCGCTGCCCATTTAGCTAATTGTCTATTTTTCTCTGTACTAGATAATAATGATACCTGAAGTGAAGATGAATTATTATTGTTCAAACTACTAACTTGTTGTTGTTTACTCGGCATTGGATTGTTATTTAATCGACTACTTTGATTATTAGGATGATGATGATGATGACTGGCACTGACAATACCAGCATCATCAATAATTGTTGCATAGTTGTATCCAATAGATGATGGTCCATTGTGTAGTTTATTGTCTATTGTTGTGGATGAAATCATTTTCAACGATTTTGGCAAATGATTATCTAACGCAGAGCATGTCTAATAATGAAGATAAGAATTTTTTTTTTTAGAAAAAGAAGGTGAACAAGAAAGAAAAACCGACAACATTACACTCGTCAAATCCCCAAATCAGAACACGGTTAAATGGAAGTAAGAAGCCGAAGTGAAGGCGAAATAAGAACAAAGTTAGTTAGTATCTTTACAGTTTTTACATGAATGTACTCCATGTATCGACTAGCACTGATCGGATTAGATTTGGCTAATCAGCGTGCAGCTAACAACATGAGGAACTTCTAGAATGCTCTCCAAGTATCGACCAGGCGCTGATTGGACAGGAATTAGCCAATCAGCGTGCAGCTAACGCAGTCATGCTTTAATCCACCTATGTCCCGCTAACAGTTTGACTGATTTTTTAACTGGTTAGGATTATTAATGTATAATACATGATGCGTTTGATGGATAGCTGAACTGAGATTTGTTTGTGCAGTTAGCACATAGAAAAAACAGATTTTTTTTAAGTGGACCCAACATTTTTGTAGGAGTCGTTGTGATAATAGTGAGCTAGACGCAAGATGAGGACGCTCATCAACGCCTCTAGCGCTTACAAACGAACTGAATGCTCTTGAATAATTGATGATAAACTGAGTTTATGTACAGGATTCTAATAAAATGTGAAACAACGAAAAACATTGAGGTTGATTTCTTGGGTCTCTGGAAATATTATTAGAGAATTGAGACATATCATTTGAATCGAAGATGCAAGTAAACATATAACAAACTGGATGAACAGATCTAACGAACTGATGATAATATTAATCATATCGGTTAAAAAAGTTAGATAATCAATGTAACAGTGAGAATTATTGGTGGTTTTTGTGAATAAACTATTTTACTGACTGTACAACAATTGCATAACAATCAGTTATAATTGTTATTGGATAGTGTGGTGTGCAGTAATATGATAGGTTAAGGACAGTTACAGCATCACCAAATGATAGTCTTATTGTGGTGTGAGCTACTTATAAGTAGTATATGACGTGAGTGTCAACGTAATGTCTGGCAGCAGAAGATGGGGGAAGATCAAGAAAGGAAGAGTTAGAAAACAATGGAATTTATATGAAACGCATGAATAGTGACAATGGATTGATGTTGTTTGCAACAGGAACAGTCCAGTTCGATAGGATGGACTGATATTTTGCAAATGAACAATTTACGATATGGTTTTCCTATTTTACTGAGTAACTCTGTAATTTCGCTAAATACAATTCGGTTGCCCCACCTGTGTTCTCGTTCACTACATTATTACACTAGGCTTTTGTTTTGCCAAATATATGACATATCAAACAAGATTACATGAATTGTAAGCTGTATATCAACACGACACACAATAAGTGCACAGTCAACAACACTATTCACCTAGCCACGAATGTATGACTGGATTAGTCCAGCATTCAGAAATAAAGCTTCTTTCTTAATAATAGGTTCTCTTCACGCGTATAGATGAATCCAGTCAGGTGTAGTAGTAGGAGGTGCATGGTATTCATGACTGAATTCGAACGTAATATCATAAAAGAAATCAAATAGTAAATACATTTGTATGATGATTAGAAGAATAAATTCTTCACTTACAAGTAATAGACCATATAAACTACGAAGATTATTTGGACATAATAGACAAGCTTGACTATAATAAGCTCTGGCTAATTCTAAATTCTCATTTCCTCCTTCAGTATATTTAATCTAAAACGAGATGTTGAGAGAGAAAAAATAAATAAATATTTAGGTATAAGTGGGAAACTTTACGTGATAGTTACATGGTTTTATTAAATTTATTATGAAATGTTTATATAGAATAAGCTAATTTGACTAAATACTTGCTAGTACTGAATAGATTATAACAACTCACATACGTGTCAGTTTGTTTACGTCTACTTTGATCAAGTCCTTTTATAAATTTATCTAACTTACCTTTGTACTTTTGTTATCGTTACGCATGGATGAGCGTTGTTTACAAAGGTTGCACATAATAATTCTATTAGCTTTCATGCTAGTCAACTCCGCCTGGAGCCCTTCTGAGGTTACTGTCTGTCTCAAGCCAAGAAGAGGATTACGCATGGGGTTAGCGACACATCATGTAGAAATTCAAATAGCCTAAAACGTGATAACTAAAGTAAATAATTCAAATCATTCAAGCTCTGCATTGGCAGTTGGAAAAACTTCATTTAGAACAATTATGACGCCTCATGATGAAAGCCCAGTTTCTTCGGAAGTAACGAAGCCGATACTCTTTCTCGCAACCAGAGGAACAATTGATATATGTACATGGAATGAATGCACATTGTGGGACACCGGAAGAACCATTCGATTTGCTGCAGAAGTAAAAAGATATAACCTGATGGTGTATAGAATAACTGAAACCCATGAGACACAGACTGGACACAATAAGACTAGCTTCTGGAGAGAGGCTGATGTGCTCTGGCCATGAAGAAGATATGCTCACTGGAAAATATAGTCAACCGGAATGACCAGTGAGCAGCAAGTAAGGCAAAGTAATCACCAACAAAGAAGAACAGCGAAACAATGGGCAGAGCACGTTGAAGAAGTCTTGAATATACTAACCCCACTAAACCCACCCAACATCGAAGCAGCATCCACGAACCTCTCAATCAATGTTGACCCACCAGACAAATCGTAAGTGGCTAAGCAGCAGGACTAGAACACATTCCCGCAGAGGCATTAAAAGCAAATGTAACAGCAACTGCAAAGACGATCACTTCAGCAACGTTTATGAGGAACAACAAGCACCAACAGATTGAAAGTACATCTGACTAGAAGTGAAGAATGCGACAGACAGCTTGGATAAAACTAGACGAACTGGCCCTCTCACATGACTTAGCTCTTCCGACCAACACACAACAAATGGAGAAGACTAGGGCAGCAGAAGCCACGGCACCAGTCGGTCTCAACAGACACAAGGGCAAAACCGAAATCCTTCGATACAACACAATATGCGCTGACCAAATCACACTTGATGGGAAAGCTTTGAAGACCCAGGGATATAGATCGGTGAAGCAAGGACAGCATTTCTACTATTCAACAACATCTGGAACTCAAAACAACTATCAAATAACATCAAAGTCACAATTTTCAAAACAAACGTCAATACAGTTCTAGTGTATGAAACGGAAACTTGGAAAACAGCGAAAACCATCCTTTGGAAGATACAGGTGTTTATTAACCGTTGTCTGCGAAAGATACTTAGGATCCATTGACCAAACTCCCTCAGTAACAACCCACTGTAGATTAATAAAACAGAATACTCACATCAGAACACTTAATAACATCTGATCAATAAGTAGGTGGTTTTATGAAGAATCCCTTTAAAGTGTGAATCAAAGTCGACTGTATGAACACATACTTAGTAAATGAGTAATATGATATGGAACAACAAACGTAACAATAGTTCGATATTACGTTCGCATATAATATTTGGAGATAAATTAGAGCTGGGTAGTTGCCTCATCGCAGTTTGAGAATTGTCAGAATTGAACATCTACCATCTCCTCAGAAATCGAAATAAGAACATTTAAGCTTCATGCAAAGAGTTTTACCCAGTGAAACAATAATAATTAGACCTAAATTACACAGATAAAACCAAAAAGCATAAAACAAACTTACTTCAGCATAACGTTGATAATAGAGATGATTAGAAGGATTGGACAAAATCAATTCTTCCATACAGAATGCAGCATGTTTATAGTCACATTCTGATAGATAAAGATCAGCTAACTTATTCCATGCTTCATAATCGCTCATGAAACTAGAAACACAAAAATATTGAAAATAACAAATATACCAGTTTATTTTCTTAGACATTATATTATTAGGCTACTTAAATGGACATAAGTAGACTAATAATTCGAAAGTAAATTAAACACTGATGTCGAGATAACATTAGTACTGCGCCGTCCCTAACTTTTTGAAATATTGATAAATCATAGTTAAAAGTGCTTTAAATTCCAGTTCCTCATGTACTTGTATACAGACGACTGAGTTTACATGTGCTGAGAAAAGACACACCATTAAATACTTACTTTAGTGCAAATGAAAAAGTAAATATTTATACTGTGGTGTGCTGTACTTATAATAATAATTGATATTCGATGAACAGATGTCAGTTACTCGTTTATGAAATGTAACGTTGTAAATTCTCTGATACCTATGATTATTACTACTCTGAAGAAGTTCACACAAGATAGCTGGATGAAACGTTGTAAGGATTGAAAATTTCAATTGCTGAGGTTATTCTAAATACAATTTTCATAAATATTGTCTCTTCTGTACTGTGCGCCCAATTTTTGTAAAACTATTTGTTCAAGTATTGATGAATATTCTTAAAAAATTAGGTATTTTTTTATAATTTACGAAGTCGGATATCGCTCTACAGTTGCCCATAACGTGGAAAGGTGTTTCTCGATTAACCTGAAAGGGAAGTTGGGTTAGTGTTAGTCTAAACGACCTGGGAGCGTCACCACAGAGCCCAAAACAATATCGCTGCGGATGCTGGTTGTCCGAGGCAAACACCTTACTACTGTCACACCACTCTACAGTCAGCAGTACAACTCCACCCTCAGACATTGAGTCACTGCTTTTTGTCTCATCATCCTCCAATCGACCTGTCTGGCATGGTAGAACCTAAAGGAACATATGTTCTAGCCAATGTAGCTCAGTTGGGTCATTACGACCACCACGTCAACATAGCAGCAACGGTTGGGGAATCATGAGGTAAAATTCGTATCACACTTATTCTTATTAGATGTTACTATTATAGTGAAGAAGTATAAATGTAACTTAGTTATTGATTTGTTTTTAATAGTTGAAAACAGTTTAATTCTGAAAGCAAATGTCTGGCAGTTAAACTCGGTTAGTAGGTACGGAGGATCCCTCTAAGAGCGGTAAAAACTCTCACTTCAAACCAGTAGAGCACATCATCTTCAAGAACCTCAAGGGACGAATAGTATATGAATGTATTATTCGTCAACAGATTCAATGGGAAAACATATAACGTTACTCTACTGTTTTTTGAATGAAACCTCTAGGTCAAAAGCTCAGGGATTGGTCCCCTAAGAAAACTACTTGCTTCGGTTTGGGTGTGGTAGATACTATTAAAAAGCAATTAAGTAATATGCATCGGTGTCGCCCCGAAGTTACAAGTGGAGAGAATAGTACCGGATCTAAATGTACGGTGCGATCGAAGTGTTTTGAAGATCAGAAGATATGTAGAAGAAGACAGCCAATAATGTGTTTGTTTTCCAAATGGAAGTCTGAAGATAACTGGGTCTTCTCTAAATACACTATATTATCTCTGGTTTCGACGTCTTCGTTTATTGTATGTGTATCCAAGCAGTATCCAAACTCACACACCAATCCAATAATTTGTGCGGTGCATATATACTTTGATGCTTGTGTACCGATGTTTATGTCATTGAATACATAAAAGCTGGCATATATTTACTATAAATATAGGGTTTTGTAGACGCTCACTGTTGCGGACGAAATAGTTGTTCAGTGTTAAATCTTTTCACTAATCAATACGCACATGGCCTTTATGTAACCAATATACAACAAGGACGGGAGATTCAACGGCATAATACTAACTTGCTCTCACCGAACGTCAATGAGAACAGTTTGCTTATGCAATATGTACATCTAGTCTTCAATCATTTACTTGCATCTGTTGTGTTCTGCAATCCCAGTCAGTTATAAGCTGTCTTTTGTCGCTCATCTTCTAGTCTGGAAACATTCGATCGCCTGAAGCTCTTTTCCTTGATAGCAACTTCTACGTGACCCTCTGCTGCATACTACTTGTAAGCATCTATGTGAGTAGTGTCCGTTACAGTAGGAGTTAAGTGAGAAAAAGTTTAAGAACGTCCAAACCAACTCATGGAATCAATTTATAAAGACAGTGAACATTGGTTTGAGCAATGTACGTGATCGTAGACCACTTGATTGGATTCAGTTCGAAGACTTCACATGATGACATAAATGAGAACTATTCACAATGATGCAGATGCATTCATGCTTTGCATTTCTTCAAATCTCAAATGTTGAAAGTTTTCGGAACTTGAACCGATTGTGTAATATAAGTGGCTAACTGATAAATGTGTACATAAATACAAATACATTTTGTCAAAGGACTTACATTTTTAAATATTCTCTTAATTCATTAATCGCTTCGGGTATTTTCTGTTGAGCCATTAAAATTGTAATCATTCGTTTACGTGCCAACTAAATAAAAATTGATTCAAATTATAATCAACAGATATACACGCAAGCAATCACGCGAATACAGTAATAATAATAATAATAATAACATATAAAGAGGTGAAGGCCGCCGATAGGCAAAAGCACTCGAAATCCACTTCTCATATCATTGAAATTAAGATAATATACAATATAATTACAGCATAAACTAATAAATAGATTCTTCTAAATTTAGTTAACTTGAAAATAACGATGAAACATTGAAAACGAAGCTTTGAATATTACTTAACTTGTTATTGAAGTGAGCTTAAACAATAGAGCTTGTGATAATTGAAAACTGAACATATATCGTACAAAAGAAACAGCACAGTTCTCGCGTTCAGTGTGAAAAAAAAGTTGCATTAAATCAAGTTTTTTATCATTTTTAGATGGTAGTTTAAGGTGAGGAGTATGGCACGAGTATGGCACTTGGCGTCAATGTTCAACATAAAATGGAATGCTGAATTATTAATTACAGCGAATAGTTCCCAAATGAGTACGCTTCAAATTAGAATCATATTTCATCTACTTGGATCTAAGTTGAACAGATCGTAATAGGAGTAACAGTATTGGTAGCCAACAAACACAGAAAAAGCATACCACATAACAGTACAAGATTCTGTACTTAGTTATTCAGTTACACTGCAATTCATTGATTTTGTTTATCGAAACCTATCGATTGAATAGATCACTTTGCATTGTTGTTCACTCATAACACAATATTAATTATATTTCATTTGGTTTAAATTGGTCGCAGTGTACTGGATACTATTCACAAGCATACAAGTAGTATGCATCGAAGAATCGCTCCAAAGTTGTTATCGAAGAGAAGAGTATCGAATCCGAATTGTACGGTGATGCGATCAAAGTGTTTTGAAAATCAAAAGATATGTGGAAGAACACAAGCAATAATGTGCTTTTCAGGCAGAGTTTTGAAGGTTTGTGTTTTTACACATTTGAAATCATCAATCAATCATTGTTAGACCACCATTAGAAACCTGGAAGCACTGGACGACCGTTTCGTCCAGTTGATGATTTCAAATGTGTAAAAACACAAACTTCCAAAACTCTGCCCGAAAATATCGTAACAGTGCTCACTAGTGACTAGCTTCGTGAGGAAATTCTAGTTGAGAAGACGTGCGACCTACACCCTGTCGGGTGTAGGCAGTAACTACCAAAGACAAATCGGTGCGGTCGCGCAAAATCCCTAGATCAATCAGAGTTAGACATTAACGCCGTTGGATGCCGGCCCAGTGGTCCGATGGTTAGGCGTTCGTGAACAGTGCCGAAGGTCCCGGGTTCGAATACTGCCAGGCGCAGGAGTCGTGGATGCGCACTACTGATGAGTCCCATACCAGGACGAAACGGCCGTCAAGTGCTTCTTCCATGTTTCTAATGGTGGTCTAACAATGATTGATTGATGATTTCAAATATGTAATAATGTGCTTGTTTTGCAGATGGAAGTTGACATATTTTGTTAATAGACTATTTCTTTCAACTAGTTTTAACGTTTTCATTCATCACAATAGTTATAGCGGATGCTTGTATGCTGATTAAGTTGTAGCTCCATAGTTAAAAATGCTGTACAAGTATAAATTGCAAATACGTTTATTATCATCAATTCTCTGTTTAATAACACATAATATAAACGTGACTAGACTAAATTCTTTTTAAGTAATCAAGGTTCATAGACATTTTGCTTGTATCTCATTGATTGTATGCATAGCCATTTTAGAATTCATTAACTTTCATGTTGGACTGTTTCACAATCGAATGCTATTGTTGTTGTCATGAATGTAAGCTTAAGAAATTAGCCAATTATGGTTGATTGTAGAACCATATATATATATATATATATATATATATATATATATATATATATATATATATTCATATAAACATTATGCATCACTATTTCTGAATAAACAGAGAAAGTATGTAAGATCCATTTTTTGGAGGCTTTGTTTGTGAAAATCCCTCCATGTGTACATTTGTAATTTGTTCTTATTGATTCCTTCAGTTGTACATTTTGTTAATCTGTTCGATTCCATTTTGAGATGATAATATTTGTATTTCATTATAGTTTCTATTTCTTCTGCCTTTACTGAATTTCTATGTTTCTTCCTGAACTGCATTTGTGCTGTAAAAGGTGATACTTAGTCATGGCGACAGCCATGCTAATTTTTTCCTCTTTTGATTGGATTGATTGCTTTGACTGGAATGGTGCATTTTGATTGTGAATTGAAGCACTCTTCCAGAATAAGAAACACTCTGTGTTACTATAAGGCAACCAAATACTATTTGTCGAACGAATCTGTTCTATCCAGGAGGGATCGAATATTAGTTGATTTGATTACCTGAAAAATTGTTGGTGGACTAGTTGAGTAGCAATATTGTTTAGGTAATGATGTATATTTATATTTATGATAAATATTGGAACTGTCATTTACCTAAATCACTTGTTTTGGATTTCAACTGGTCAAGGTGCGTATCTAATTTACCTAGACAGTTATTCCTCAATCCAAACCTTAGTTTGGATCCAACAAGTACTTATATATATAGCGAGCTTAACATAAATAAATACTACTTACTGTATTGGTTGGATCATCTTTGATGAGTTTTGAGTAGACATTCTGAGCATCTTCAAAGCTATTTGCATCAACAAAAGAAAGTATACATATATACATAAAGGCAACCAGGACAAATACATTATTTTACTTAATAACAACAAATCAAAACATGTCATCAAGTATCAACCATCTTTTTTTCAATGTTCAATGAATAATGTACAATACTTAGCATGTTTTCTTTTTGAGTATCTTTTTACTCATTTAGCAGGTAAATATAGGGATAAATAAAAAGGCATGATTTTTTGTTGGGGATTTCATTTCTATTATCTAGCAATGCCTTCTATGAAGTCCTCAATGAAAAGTCGTGGTCTTGCATACCTCACTCATCTACTACTCATGGTTGAGTTGTTTATTCACTTTAAATAATTTTATCATAATAATGCACACAAGATGAATTTATGAACAGAACAATTAGCTTCAACAGTTGAAATTATCCTAGTTATTGTTAGATTGTACAATTCCTTAGAATTAACTATCAAATTCAGTCAGTCAGATGCAACGTAGAACTTCGTACGTAAGTACATCAGTTCATGTTGCCATACCACATCAGCACAGAGATATCATTGTCAATTCAAATCCAATAGTAGAAGAGGTAGTAAAGGTATTAGAAGTAATCGGAGAGGTTAGAATTAGAAGATATTATTCAAGATATATGATTCAGTGAGAAAAGTTTAGAAAGTCAAAACTAGAGGTGTTGAAGAATCCAGAAGATTAGCATTTGAGAGAACACAAAGAATAAATGCACCGGAGCCATTGCAAACGGTTTTGAGCCATGTCATGCAGGGTATCTAACCATCGATTATTATCATCTCGCGGACACCTACAGACATGGCTAAGTCCACTCGTCAATTACTTCATGCGTTTCTGCCATGTTTTGGTCTAGCCGCCCCTAACTTTCATCCAACCTACTCCTACACTACGAAACAAAGCTAGTCGAGGCAGTCGGTGGTTAGGCATACGCAGCACATGTCCCAACTATCTCAACTGATGAA